GGCCTCATTTAGGAGTCAGGAAAAGAAGACAAGCTTTTGTTTCTTTTGACTGTCGCCAGCAACAATTTCCACTCTATTAAGGTCGCCTACGTAGATCCTAATAGGTACCAAGAAACCATGTTCCCCAGTGGGAGAAAGAGGAGGCTCCTAAAATGCCCTGTCTGTGAGAATTTAAGCAATGGTGGTGTTGCCATGACCGAGCAGCTTCTGTCATCAGCTATACTCGCCTCAGATGACTGTGACAGTAGAAGGAACGGAACGGGAAGCAGGGCCCCGGTTTTTGCCAGGCCAGGGAAGCACTGCAGCTGAGGTCCTTACGGGAGTGAGGAGAGTGTGGGCAAGGCAGACAGGCTGCAAGAAAACTGTCCTCACCGCATTCGGCCAGTGGCCAGCTGCTGTCTCCACTGCATGCTGCCGGCACGCAGAATGCTCTGCAGGCGCTTCATACACCTAGAGTGGTCATTACTGTCTACATTTCCTCCTGTGCTCCTGCTTGCTCAGTGTCCTCATCCCCAACCCCAGCGTTCAGCATTTGGGAGAAAAGTTTGGAGAGAACTAGATGATGCAAAGCGCGGCCCACGAGAGGGATATGTGTACGCACTTGGTTCTGCAGGCTCAGCCTGAAGCGGACCTCGTCTCCCAAAGGCCAGAAACGAAGCTCTGCTGGAAGCTTCACCCTCACAGGACTCCTTTACTTGCTCTAAGTCAGAGTCACCCTAACTTCAGTGCCTCAACTGACCAACACTAGGGTTCTAGTGAGTCACACCTGTGATTACTTCCCTTCAGATTTTTATACCCCTAGTACCTGCATCACTATTAATATTCCATTCAATCACCGTCACATTGCTTTGCAAATGCAAACTTTATCTCACTATTGTAAATGGGGAAAGTATCGCTTCTCAGAGGCAGGAGGAGCACAGAAGTAAAATTAATGCAACCAAATGATGTTGATTACAGAGAGTAGCAGCTGCCAGGCAAAGTCCCCCATCTTGTTCTTTCTTGTTAGAGAGAGTCAGCAGCAAGAACACTGAAGAGAGAAGTGGGGAGGATCTAACTGTGCAGTGGGAGGCAGCGTCCCCGGGGCAGAGAGGTCCCTTAGCTGCTAAGTCACCTTAGGTCGGTGCGTGTCACTTGGAGGCCACACTGCTGTAGGTCTCACTGCATTTCAGGAAGAAATAATTGACTATTAAAAGGATACTCGATAACCCGTGATTTCTAAGTTCTATTCAGGATTATTAGGAAGTGTGGACAGTAGCTACACACTCATCATCCTTCGTAGGCCTTACAAATACTGTTTCCCAAGCTGAAAACTGTCATCGCGAACAGCTTGTTCATTGATTAAATGTATTCAACATTTACTGTCCATTTCACTTTAAATTATTCATCTGATCTGTAAATTAGAGTCTTTCCGTGTCTGCAACGAGCCTATCTGCTTGACTAAATGTAATACTGTGATCATATCTCATTTTCAAGATTTCCCAAAATATATGAGTATATTACTACAATTTCGGCATCTCTAATCAAGCGAGAACATCTTTCTGTCTGTTGACTGTTTCATCTGTTTTCTGGAGCTCTCAAGAACTCTGTGAGTCCAGAGCAGGAGATTGTCTTCTGATTCTGACTGAGTCTGACCGGCAGCGGTTGGCACTTACATCTGGTATTGATGCTGTGCAGCTCTTCTGCATGTTTAATTTCCTTACATATCTCGCAGTCTTCTTGGAAATCGGGTTTTATCATTTTGTTACTTTTGGTCAGAAACAAGAGGCCCAAGAGTGGCTGTTAGTTGTCAGTATTGCTTAACCTAAAAAAGCAAGCTCTTAAGTCTTTTGCTGTGGGCTGGGGGTGGGGGTACGGACACAAGCCAGCTCTGAAAAGAAACTGGATTTTCGTTCTTATTCATATGTAATTAGAGTCCCTTTGGAACTACTCATTACCACCTCAATAGTTATAGAATGAATAAATAATATATATTTTTAAATGTGGCAGAACCAAGAAAGAAATAGCCAGAGCTGCATCTAATTTATCAACTTGCTGATTAAAGGGCTGGCTTCAGAGGCTCCAGACATCTAGGGACCCAGAGATAAAATGGGGCGGTTGGCTGTGTTTTTACTAATGAATCTCAGGCTTGAAAGATATCAAACAATTTTAAAGAAAAGCAGCAAGGACAGGAGACACTAAGGCAGGGCCAGTAGGGTAATGAAGGTCACGGCCAGTTACTGAGAGAGAAAATTACTTCATTTTCTGCGATAATGCCGCTGCGTGCTGTGGCGGCTCTTCTCACGCTGTTAGGACACTGTACCCACGGCAGCAGAGTGCTGCTCACTGGAGAAGGGAAGAGCCTTGGAACCTTCCACAGAGGGGCAGAGGGCTGGGGTCTCTTGTTTGGAAAGGGGGAGGCCATGAACAATGGTAGCAGAAGGGGATTAGGTAGGTTGCAAGGTGAGGAACGCCTGCTTGGACAGGATGTGAGGGACGCACAGGATTCAATCAAGACATAAGACATAGCAAGGAAAAGAAAGAAAAATGCAAGCAAACATACTCTGGAAATGTGGAATCGCTTGGAGGTTGAGGCGGGACCAACTCTGGGGCCGGCCCAGTGCGGTCCAGCTGTGGACCGCCGTGCTCATGGGACTTTCTGCGGCGGCCCCAGAGCCAGGTCAAGGGCGCTGGACGCCCGCTCAGCCAGCGGGGCTGCAGGCGTGTTTTCTGCTTGGTGGGGGAAATGCACGGTCTTTAGGGAACAGTTCCAGAGTATATTTAGCTCCCAAAGCCGGGCCACACAAATGTCACATTCCCATGAGACAATAGGCCCAGTGACAAGAGCACCCGCCAGAGGCCCCGGAAGACCCACAGGATTCTCGCATCCCGGGAGATGCTGCGCACACGGATGTGACATCGTTCCAGCACTCATGTCAGGGAATGAAAAGAAGCGAGGGATCCCAGATTGGCCCAGATTAAGGGGTGTCAGAATGAGGCAGAAAAGAAACAAGATTTTTTTTCCCCCCACCGGGATCACCCCACCACCAAGTCATACCACACAGCACTTGGCAAAACAGAACAAACGTTGAAAATAAATCATGAACATCAAACAGAAAAACAATTCCGAGCAAAATGGAAATTAAAATCATAAAAGTCATGATGAAAGGAACATTAAGCTTCGCCTGTTTCCCCCCCTCCCCTGATTTTCTGCACGACGACTCATTGGCATTGCCCCACCAGATACATCATCATCAGTTGTCAAAAAATCAAAGTTGGATTTGACGGGGCAAGGCAAGGAGCAGAGAGCACAAGCACAGTGATCATGTTAAACACCCATGCAGTCACCTCTGCCACCATTGTCTGACACTCTGTAGACCGCTTCCAGCTTTGTCAATATTCGTAACAAGACCCGAGAGAGTGAACACTGCCGAATTTTGAAATGATCTGTCACAGTGTTAATTGGACTCTTCGATAACCTCCGTCCCTCGGGGGCGTTAGCGACTGGAGAAGATCCACTCCGCCCACCTCGGTGGAGTGGAGAGAAAATGATTGCCACCAACAGCTGGATTTGGGGTTGACATATTTAACGCTCTACTGGAAAGACTGTTTGGATTTCCAGAAAGTCGTAACGGACAAACACAAAGTGATTTTGCTTAGTCGTTTCTCCTTGAGAACTCAGCCAAGACTAACACAGCTGCAGTCGTAGCCACACAGAACAAATACTGGCACATGCCGGCGGGTGGCCCACGAGGGCGTGCTGTCCTGCCACCCACTGGCCCGGTGCATTCTCAGGATGGACCGACCGGCGACCCCTTCCTACTTCAGGAGGCTACTGAGGCCAAGTTTTGTCTTTCAAAGATGTGGGGTCAGGAATGTCGATGAGCGGAAGTTAGAGGAGAATAAACCCGGCAGAGCGGACACGCTCAAGACAAACTAACAGGGTCACCTCTCTCCACGTTTTGGCTTGGCCGGTGAAGCAGCAGTGTGTGGGCATTCTGGGGAGAGGAGTGGCAAACGAGGATGAGAATTGAGCAGGAGAGTCTGCCTGGAGAGCCTTCTCTCCAAGTAAAGATGGAAATATGTAGGCAGACAGCGCTGGGGGAGGACACCATAGAGACGGCCTTACAGGGTCACTGCGGCCGGGCTGCCTGGAGACGCAAAGCCCCGCTTGGATGAAACTCTTGAAAACATATAGGAGTAAACAATTCTGAATGGGGGGAAACAGCTCGCAACATAACTGGGCTTTTCAGCCGCTGATTTACAAGACTGTTTGTTGGACAAGTAAAGGCCTCTTTGGTCGCAGCTGCAGCTAAAGTGGGATGTGTTACCAGAAGCAGCAAATGGCGAGAAAAGACGTGACATTTCCTGTCTCCAGTGGAGCAAAGAAAGCGAGGGAGTATTTGGGACAGTCACAGTGGAACCCCTTTCATTTGGTGCAGCTTCCTTTCCATTTTAAATGCACAGCAATGCTGCTGCATTCAGTCACATATTTTTGTGTTAGCTGCTGTCCCCTCCGGGGCCACCGGCGTCTGGCTCAGGACCTGGCTCTGTTCAAATTCCGCACCAGACGAGGGTGAGGGGTGACCAGCCAGAAAGGCCTGTGCCCCACGATTTCACCATACAGGGGTTCAGTGGGCCTCTACCCCAGTGACGTTCCTTCACCTGGGCCGCACGGCATTCCGGCCACTGTGGTGAGCAAAGGGAGCCCCCGAATCACAGAATCCGCTAAGAGCAGTGGAAGGGATCTCAGAAGCAGCAACTGCTTGGGGCCAGGCCACACCTCTTTGGGTGGAGGAAGCTTCGAGCATGAGTTATTTGTTTTGTGTGGCTACTCCTTGGTCGGGATAATTTAGGATCAAGCCCAGAGGATGAGCTTGCCGTCTTTCCTGAGAAGCTTGCAATGCCAGCGTGTTGGAGGTTCCTTAAGGGCGGCTACGAGAGGCAGCTGGAAGCAGTTACACAGTCCTCCCCACTTTTCCCACCCTCTCCCCCCAGAGGAAGAGGCATTTCCAAGGCCTTACCCTTCTTGTCTTGGTGATTATGGGAAGACACTGCCCCCAAAGTGTCTGTGCTGTCCGGTGAATGGAGCAGGTCCTTCCAGTCCAGCATGCCTCCCCTAGACTCAAACCCCTCTTGAGCCGTCGAGTCTGACGTGGTGGTGCTGTGCAAGAGGGAACTGGAGTGCCCTGTTTTCATCACAAATACAGTTAGGGGCGACATGGCTGGAGAGACTCACGTTCCCTTTCCTCAGAGGCCAGGCGGTGGGTCACCTGACCTGGCTGGTAAGACCGGAAGGAGACGGTCCCAGAAATGACAAGGCTGGGGGGTGGGGCTCAGGAAAGACACCCTGGACTTACAGCTAGGGCAAGAAGGGCGAGGTCCTGTCTCTGCTACCTGCCGAGTGGGCCCCTGGGGATCACGGGACCGCCCTCAACCTTTGTGTTCCTTTTGTGCACAGTGTGGCGATGTCACTTATATGAGAGACACAACGAGAGTATCTCATTGTGTCTGACACATGGACGGTGCTGGAAAGTACTAGTGTTCACCTCTGGTATCCCATCGTAGCGCTGAAGGCAGAATGGCCCACTCGGGGACACCACGTGTGTCTGATGGGGCAGGTTTACAGCAGGGGTGAGCCTTTCCTGTCACAGGCAGCCGAGTGCTAGAGCCCGTGTGTGGACGACATCGGGCCTCGGCTCAGCTTCACAGGCTTTCCTCTTCCTGGAGGAGGGCCTCTGGGGAAACTGGCTGCCTCCCCTTCTCACTGGATGGAGGCCTCGCCTGCCCCATGGTGTCATGGCCCTGTCTTTTGTGTCTTATTCCAACAAAGTAATTTTCATGGCTCATTTACAAGGGGCCATTTTTGAGACTGCACTGGCTGGTGTGATTCAATGTCAGAAGAAGAACAAGCAGGCTGGAAGTTAGAGTGGAAATTCTGGGCATTTCCCATGACACATCCCTAAACTTTCCCTGCATCACTCCACAAGGTTAAGTGCAGATTGCATCAGGTTGCTTTGATCTAAACTGTCACAGTGATTTAAAGAAGCCCCTCTACCTGTTCTCCCTGACAGCAGTAAAATATAACCTTTCTGTGATTTTCAAGTAGAGTCTTTGACTTATTAAACCCTCTTACCTATAGCAACCTCTTGAACAGTTTTTAAAAAGGCATCAGGCTCGGCTGCTGTGAATGTGTAGTAGGTGCCTGTGGCACGAAGCCGGACAGACTCCCAAGCGGCTCCAGCCTCAGGCTGTGATCGTCACATATGCAGTAAAACACTGGCTATCGGAAAGGTTTTAACCATCGATGCCCTGCATTTTATCTGTTTAATAATTAATCTTGGGAGCTAGATTCCCAGGAGATTTTAATATTGCCAATTGCAGACAAATTTGCATTATTGCAAATGACAGACAACATATGTAATATTGAGATAACGGTATATATAGACAGTATATATGAACATACATATGTGTGTGTTATATATACATACGCAAACACACACCCTTACAAAGATAACTTTTAATCTTCTTAAAATTTTGCTTAGCAGGGAAAAGCCAGCCAGCCATGTGGTTCATCCAAGCTATATAAGAGTCTCCTGGAACCACAACACTTAAATAACCACAAAGCTTTCGTAATATTTCAGAGGCCTCTTTCTGTAGAGAACTTGTCTGACTTCACACAGCTTCAAACATGCACTTTGTTGCAAATAGTCTGGTTCAAATCCAACTGTGAAAAACATGTTCCCTTAAAACTCAAGAGTGCTTGCATCTAGACTTTTTGTTTTTCCACTTCTGGGCTTCATATCTCATAATACTGATAAGAGAACAGGGGTAGGAAAATTAGCCTGAGAATTAGGAATATGGAATTTCCCTTATTTCCGTTCTGCTTCCATTGAGGTCTGAAATACAGTCCATCTCTCCCACTCTTGAATTGCATTCAACACTGCCTTCATGAAATACGTGGTCGATCTAAAGGAAAATTCAGCACCCAGCAAAAGCCAACAATTAGAAATAGCTTTGTAGGGAGTTAAAAAGTGGGGAAGGAAAAAAAAACAAAACCCCACCTCTCCTCAAGGAGCATGAAGTTTCTTTTACCTGAATTGATATGCATTTTGAGCACTTTCAATTTAATTGTGTTCAAGGGGCAATTTTATGGTAATGCCATAAGTATGGTTTAGGGAGAACGTTTCTTAATACGGTAATCTAGGGGAAATATATGCCTAGGGGACACATTCTCTGTAGAAAGATTTCCTGGACCATATGCTGCAAATACATGGAAAACTCATTGGTAATGGAAAGCTATGGCGATGGGAGGAAATTAATGTGGACCAGATGGTAGTTAGGTAGGAAAATGTTTTACACAAATGTGAGAAATCAGCTACTTCCTCTTGCTGAAGTGTTAGTGTATAACCCACCATCTCTCTATTTTCTATATGTAAATCTAGAGAAACCATGCATCTGATGTCCTCAGAAGAAAAAAAAAGTAGTACAAGGTCTGTAATTTTTAAATTGATGCTTGATGATAGGCGATTTGTGCCACGAGAGAATCCGTCTCAACATTTTTAGGACCACCATCCAGAAGCACCATGAAGAAGCGCTCTGTTTTTTGAAACCAGTCAATAATATGGGTTATTATTACCAAACTTAAAAATTGGTAGAAGGAAATCCCTTCTATTGCTTCCTGTAATATGAATGGACAAGCTGTATTATTTTTGTGCACTCCCTAGAGACTCTGTAACCAAAATAATGCTATAAAAATAGACAATCGTTTGCGGATATGGTTATCACATATCAGTAGAATCCGAGCCTATAATTTTGCCTTGTTACTCCAGTAAGAAAAGGCATATTTTAATCAGGGGAGCTTATGCTGTACTGTACATAGGGCATACAAAGACACAGATTGTAAAAGTTAGCTTTACTATGCATCTTACTGTTTCTCTATATCTACACGTCACTATGATTCCAGAGTTAGAAACTCTTCAAACGACTTATTAACACTAACTGCAGCCAGTTAACACACAGAGAGACACCGAATCAGTAGAGAGAGAAAGAGAAGGAAAGCAACCAGGTTCCAATTCACTAAAAGGGATAAGTGGAGTGGTCTCCACAATCTCGTGGAGGGGTGAGGAGATAACAGTTGAGGGGAATGTTTGCAGGGCTTCTTGGCAGTCCTTTTTTTCCTGAGTTGGGCAGTTCTGGCTTTGTGATTCATTCCATAGTCTCTGACAATGAGCGTGCGCTCAGCCACTGAACTCTAGGCACATGCAAAGGGGCCAGCTAGAAACTGTGGACTTGGAGGTCGGCTTCCTGTTCTACATGTTGGATTTCCCGTGGACACAGTACCTTGTCCAGCGCCTGGAACATAGCGGGCATTTAACAAACCCTTGCTGAATGAATGAATGAAATCTATTCTAGGTTTATTCACTCAAAAATAAGTATGTCTCAGAATAGCTTATGAAGAGGAATTCTTCTGTATATTTTTTAATAAGTACTGTCTTAGACCAACCTTCACTTTGACAGTTAATCATCTGGGCACTTCATGCAGGATAGATTTAGCCTGAAATGGACCGGATTTTTAGTTGAAAGGAAAGCTCCCACTCTAGTTTTCTTACAGAAATCACTGATCAAAAGCTGAGGGCAAATGGGCATTATCCTTTAAAGTGTGAATATGGAGGGATTAATCAGTCACTTTTCCTTTGCAAAGGAAATAATAGAGATCTATAGATTGGAGGGTGGTTTTTGTTCATAAAGAACATCCCTTGGAGAAACTCTTCTATCTATATGAGAAAATTACCCGAGAGTTAAGATTGGCCTGAATATGATTGATTAATGTTGGGAGTTTGCTAGTTCAATTAGATTCAAGACCTGAACTTCTCAATATCTGTAACGATTATTCCGTTATAGGAAATGATTGCCATGTATGATATTGGAGAAGCGCAGACGCTAAGTGGTTTCTCTTTTTGAAGGGCAAGCTAAGCTAGATGACATTTGCCTCCTGAGAAATTTTGCTTCCAGTTGTTGGTATTTAATATTCTGGCTTGACTCAGAGATCAGAGAATGTTAAAGGTGGAATGTTAATTCTGTGGGCTTGCTCCTCCACGCCACGCTGCCTTTACTACACACTGGAATCACCAGGAGATAGCAGGCATCATTTTGTGCACGGTGCACAAAATGTGATAAGATGGCCCTTTCAGCTCTCAAAGAGAGGTTTTCTCTATGCCAGTTAGCCATAGGGAGGGAAAGTTCATATAGCGCTATAAAATACATTTGCGGCCATCTTGAACTATTTCTTTGGCTCCTAAATCCACCTTGATTTCTTCCCCCCCTCTTCCTTTATTTCCATTTCCTTTATTTATTTATTTTTATTCCCTTGCTCTATTACCTACCTCTTCATCTAAAGACTGCTCTGGAAGCATTGTTCCGTTACTTATCTTAAACACACACACTAGAAATATCAGTGAATCAATGAGGCTTGTAGGCCCACTGCAATGTGAAGGCTTAAATCTGCCATCACACCACTGTTTCCCATAATACATATTTTTTAAAAAGAATACTTTAATAAATATTTGAGGGAACTCTGAGAAATGTAACTGACACATTTCAGCTTGTCTAAAAGAGGTCAGAATACTGTTTATGGGCTTCATGGTTTGTTTAGTGCATTGTGTGTGTGTGCCTGAGCGGGAACAATGGGATAAATCCTGTTTGCACATCATTCCCACTGCGTCATTCTTCCTGGTATACACTGTGAAGAAATCGCACTGAAAATATGTCTAAATATTCAGACTCTCCGAGAGCGTCCATTTCCAAGGCTGACTTAATGTGAATTTCAGAAAGGGACTGCCGACTAAGAACTGGGTCTCTGCACCCCAAAGAGGGTATTGTTCAGCAGCTAGGGTTTGGGGGACGGGGGCGCAGTGTCTGTCCTGGAGCTGTGGCCCATCAGGTGTGAGCACCATGCTTTTCATCTTGCACATACTTATGTCCAAAAGCAATTTCTTCTCCCTCAAGAGCTCATTAAGCAGATTCCCCAAGGTTGGCAGGTTTTATGTTACCTGAATTAAAAATGTAGGACTTGGTCTCACATGCCAATTGTCTCACAGAGGCAGAATGATTTTTGAAACACGGTAAAATCTATAAATAATTTTAGTGAATTGGGGCCCTGAAGTCACAAAGAATCTGGTCCATGGTGTTTAGGAATGAAACTATAAACTACTACAGGGTGAGTGGGTTGAAGAATTAAAAAAAAAAAAAAAAAGGAAAGGAAAAAAAAAGAAATCTATAAACTGACCAGATACCGTGTTGTAAGACATTTCATAATCTGGTAGAGGAGTTGAAATGTCTATAAAAAAATAATGACGATAAAAAATTTATTAAAATAGAAACCTAGGGTTTGAAAATTCTCAAGAGAATTAGTGAAATAAGATTTCCCAAATCGACTGCCACCAATATTAAATTATGAGTAATATCTTCCTTACCATTCAGCGCCACAAAGGAATCTGAAAGACAAAAGAGAGAAGGTGACTTAATGTTTCACATTTTGCTTAGTGTGACTTACATAAGAAGTGGGAATGAGCTCATACAGAACTAGGTTACCATATGATCCCCAATATCAAGTAAGCATTTTTAAAATTCCTGATTCTAATGTAAGATGCTCAGATCCCCACGCTCCTCCCTTTCCCCTCCCGCCTCCAAGCAGATGACATCAAAGTCACTGCCTTTGTCACCAGGAGGTACAGGGAAAAGTCCAAGCTACTAGAAGGAAGGCTTTTAGTGATCACACGCCATCCTGAGAATCCCAGTGCTACTCTAGAGAGAGGGATATGTATGTGGACAGAATAAGTGCTTTCTGGATCACTCTTACAAAGCACCTTTCTTTCTTTCTTTCTTTCTTTCTTTCTTTAAGATCTTTGGTTGCAATTTGAATTTCATAAATCTGACAAATAGCACTGGGTAAACTTAAGGTGTGCAACAGGTTACCTTGATCGATTTTTTATACTTTGGTTGTTGTAGTCATATTGAGCACACTACATAATTATAGTACAACATTATTACTTATATTCAGAGCTTTTATTCCTTTGAAAAATTGTATATTTTTAAAGTGAGGTAACGTTGGTTCACAACACAGTGTGATTAGGGGTGTAAATGTATTTCACCACACTGCATCTACCACAAGAGCCCAGAGCAGGGAACCCCTCCTTGCTGCTCCCCACCTCCAGTCCCCTCTGGTAGCCTCAGTGCTCCATTCAGATCTCTAGGGTGTTGTTTTTTTTGTCCTGTTCCTTTGTTTTGTTTCCTTATATTCCTCGTATGAGGAATGAAGTCATCTGGCATTTGTATTTCTCCTTTGACTTACTTCACTTAGCAAAGCACTTTTCTTTCTGTTCTGTCATTTCATTCCCACAGCCACGCTGTGAAGAACTGTCCAGTATCACAATGTTCTGAACTCCACACAACGAGTTGGGAAGTTACAAGCAGAAATAAAGGCACACACGTTCAGCACATGTGTGTGCGTGTTCCCGGGGCCAGAGCACCGCCTCTCTCGGCTTTCTACCAGCTTCTCGCACAGACGCTGTGACTTCCTGTTGCCCCTGAAAATCCCGTGAGGGGTTTCTGAAGACACTGTGCGTGCCTGCCTACACCTCTGCATGCCTGCGTGGCTGGGGCAGAGAAGGGGGCATGGAGGGCAGCAGCAAAAGTGGGGTTCGAGGCCCTCCCTGGTGGCGCAGCGGGTTAAAGCGCAGCACTGAGAATCTAAAGCCACTTCCGCATGAGTTCGATTCCCGCCTGCCCCGGAGGTGACCACATGGCGCGGCAGACCTCTCCTGACCCGCCCGCTGCTCCCCTCAGCAGTGTACTTCGTCGATCTGCCTGTTCTGTTCCCCACTCTGTCTCTGGTGAAGCCTCTCATTGCCCCTGAGCCTCTGGCCTGTACCCCAGTTCTGTATGCACAAATAAATAAATCTTTAAAAAAAAAAAAGTAGGTTTCGAGGTTAGGGGGTACACGAAAACATGAGGTTTGGCCACAGACTGAGAAGTGAGTCACTGGCTTGCTGTCCGAGGGTGTACCCTGTGCTGGACAGGAGGCCTTCTCAGGTCCTCTGCCGGAGGACACAGGGTGACTGCTTTACAGAGACGGTAGTAAGACTGCTCGTCGTTGGTATGTGAACACGTGCAATGCAAATCTGCACCCCTGTCTTTCTACAGATGCCCAAACCACCAGATCGTTATGCTGTGACGGAAACGAGCCCTTAGAGTCAGCTAACACGTTCACAGACCAAAGCGCATTCTCCTGAAAGAGCAGCAAGGCACCAGCATGATTAAGATCCACCGATGAACCCTAAGATCCTTCCCTGTAGACAAGGGGCCCGTTCTCTGCCTCTTGGGCTACTCGCTCAACTAGTGCATTCTGAGTGTGAGCACACCGTGAAGAAACTTTGCCAAGATATAATATTTGCACGTGCTAATATAGATAGGAGACAAAGATTTGAGGCTGAGGCTGCCTGTAGCCCTCGGGTTATATCCGAGCGCTCAAACAGCTCAGGTAAGAAGCTGGATGGCACCTAGACTCCGCTGTTCAGTGCTCATGAGTTACAGCCATGATTTTCACTATAGAATTGCACTTCAGAAGCAGTATCATGCCTTTCTCTTAAGGAGCTAATATTTTTTGTGTCATTTGAACACAAGCTTCTTGAAATTCATTCTGTATGATATTTAAAACATCATGAAATAAATATTTCCCAGGAGTATAGCATTGTCCTGCTCTTTAGCGTTAAAAAGTATTTTTAGGAGATTGCTGATATTAATCAATCCACAGGTCCACTGGCCAGAATTTTGGCTAGGATACTTGATATATCTAAAATGTTTCCATTTCATAATTTTTGAATGAACTCTGAGATTAGCATGGTGGATTAATGCCTATAAAAAGGTATCTTGAGTCATTTTGCCCCTCCTGGCTTTCTCTGAAATTATTTTCTACCAGAAATGGTAACAGACGTCAATTTAATAAATTCAATAAATTTAATAAAATGAATTACTTTTGTTAGTTGAACATAATTGCCATGTTCAAGGAAAAATAAAAGTCCCGGTCAATTTAAAGGCCACAGTACAGTGTTCAACCCATCTTATTATTTGCCTAAAAACTATATTGTAATAATATTTCCAAAACAACAACAATAACAAAACCATGGCATGGCATTTTAAATGGAAATGCCGGTGTGGCTGCTGCTCTGTTCTAATTAATATCCTCAAGAGAGAATTTGTTCCACAATATTATAATAATGAAACAGGTGACAGCATTTCATTGCGACAACTCTGACAACACTGTGTTGATTTAAAGTTCTTTTTTTTTTCTTACAACATGGACCTGCTATTTATTTGATGTGGAGAAGATGATTTCTGCTGTTTGCGCTCAGCGCCAGACGCACTCAGCGCCACGTGTGGGTCTAGGCCACGCAATACGAGCATGTCTGCCCAAAGCTAAATGCGGCTGAGAAGCTCTACTCACTGTGACAGTCTCCCAGGCCATCTGTGCTGCCACGCTCTATGTCCTGTTCAAAAGTCAGCCTTAGAAAAAAAGGTGGGGGAGAAAGGCAGAAACAAATGCAATAATGTGAGTCATTATTCCAGAACGAGTCTTAAGTCACACCAGAGAAAGCAACAGTTTGATAAATGGAATGGCAGGTGCAAAAAATGAAATCAGTAACAGCTTGCAAATTTATCTCTGAAGTTTACAGAAGTGAGTCTTCTGTGACTCTCCAAAGAGGAGCCACAGTTGAAGCAGCTCATTCAAATAGTGTGCAGGGAGTTCATTACTTTATGGATTATTTATATCCTTCTTTACTTTGATTCTCTGAGCATTAAATTCTTGGAAAGTTTAGATGTTAAACTATGGCCCTTATATAAACAATATGGGAGTCTGTAATTATAAACTAATTTAAAATGCCCTCCTCTCTACTCTTTCTTTCACTCCTAGACTGACTGTTGGCTTTCAGACCTTTTTTCCTCGATTAGCAATCATTTGCATAGAACAGAGTATCCAAAGGTCCAGAGAGGTGTGTGGGGCCCCTGAGGGGATAGTAACTGGCAGAGTGTTTTGCTGAGGCCACTCAAGTATGTTGTTGGGGTTGCCCCACACCCAGCTATTGGGAGTACTGTCCCCAAGTCCCTCCTCACTTCTCTTCCCGGGTCAGCATTGGAGTGACAAGCTATCGATATGCAGCACGAACAGGAGCAACCTGAGTATCTGCTTTACCTTTGAAAATAAGCACCCAGGTACCAAAGTAGACCTTCTTTGCAGGAATTTGGGCTGCTACCTGCCATGCAACTAAAGCTTCTGTTTGCCTTTGACGTTTACGAGCCATAAAGCAAATCCATTTTGAAAGTTACAACTTGCAACTAATAATCTACTATATTTGTGTTTCCCCTGAGTTTCGCTATATTCAAAGTCAGACTCATCCTCAACATTTTGGATTGCTAATGGTGGTGAATCCAATATTCACCGGGCCCTGACCAGGACTGCTTTCCCAGGGGACTTCCACATGTTTAGGCCACTGTGGTAACATGCGTAGACCTTTGGGGAACTGTGCCGGGGTGTCTGTGTTGACTTATATAATATCAAAAAAAAAAAAAAAGTCTTATTATCTTTGGGAACACTGGAATATAGGAAAGAGAGAAGCGGTCGTTTCCCTTACTGCTTTGTGATCCTTTCTCCTTTACCTCAAGGCTGTTCATGGAAAGATGTTAAGCTCTCAGAGCATAGCACGTCTACACGGCAGCTTACAACACTGATCTAACAGCACAGTGACCAACCCTTTGAGTTAGTGAGATTTCGAGGTCTGACTTAATGCTTGTTCTCGTTATGGGAGTCATCCCCCTCTCTCTGTGCAGGGGTGGTAGCAGATACACTCTCTTGTGCATTTTCCTAGTTACTCTAAATTGGGGGAGGAGATTCAGAGTGACAGGAGGATGATTCCGTTTCCCATCGGGTTCTTGAGGTTGAAGGGGTAGCTAAGTAGACAGTGCCCTAAGGCACCTTCCTTGAGTTGGCCACAACCAGTCAAGACCATGCACTGAGTAGTTTTCCAAATGTAATTTTGGATTGCACAGCCAGTCAGATAATAGTATAAAAGAAAGTTTGCACCGGGGCCATTGACCACTTTGAGCACCAAGTCACAGGCACAGTGGGCTGGCTGCGTCAAGATGACCTGCGGGAGAACTGCCCAGAATTGAGCAGCCAACTGCTCCTCAGTGCAGGGAAAAGGTTTATTGGACGTGCACACCATGCTTGCAGTAGAAATACATCGCTTAACAAATGCTCTCAATTTCTTCTCAGCCTTGCATGGACAGACCACGTCCCTAATTGAATTGACAGCCTCTTGCTCCTTCTCTGCTGTGCTCACACTGTAGCGCTCAGGCAAGCAGCTTCTTGCAAGTACTTAGAAGTCCACCCTTTCCTTTCTTGGTGGTTTTAATCAGTGTGAGGATGAATGATCAGTCAATTGGAAATGTGCCACGTGTCATGTTGGGGTGCCTGTGCAGTTGTGAACAGCACGCCTAGTAACGGGGGTTTTAAATGCATGGCGGCCAAAGGCCACAGCCCCTCGCCAGTTCCTCACGCTCCTTACCTGCTGCTGGGTGACAGATGGGCGCAGGCACCTGCTTCCTTTACCCACCCACAGTAAGGGTCTCTGGAGGCGATACAGGTTCTGCAAGGAGAAGAGGCTGTCAGCGACCTTGGACTCCTGTCTAAGCCCTGTGGGCCTTCTAAACTCGGAGGAGGCAAAACACGTACTTTTTACACGTCCCATGTCGTTCACACCGGCCAAGGGGAACCTTTATCACACAGGTCGAGAATGCCACGTACAGAGAGCTGCTTGCTTTATCCAGCTGCATGCCCATAATTCTCTTGTCTTCCACTCCATCATAGCTGCACCTAATTTTATAAGGCGGCATCATATCATGATTAGACTCACTTGAGTCAGTTCTTCTTGCTTGCCACCACTCTTGTACCCCACCTCCGGCCCACAAGCTGATCTCTTAATCTGATCTAATCGGGGGCGAAATAGATCCTCGTGTTTGCGAACACACACACACACCGATCTCTGGTGTCTATATAAACATGTGATTAGCCAGGAGAAAATGACGCTTTTTATCATGCACTAAATGCTTTTTACAAATAATATTAAAAATCACTTAAACAGGCATAAAACCTGGGTCTGCTATGATTTTTCTCTCAGTGAAAAATGGGCCACAGTAGCATGCCAAATCATGACAAAGAAGGAACCAAACATTCTACTCACTTTTCAGGGTTGTAAACGCTTATCTCCTCCAGGAAAAGGCTGTCATTTAGAAAACCACTGTTTCCTATCCTGGCCAAGAATTTCAAGATGATCCCCTTCTCCGACCCCAGGAAAACCACCGTGTGATTGAGATACGGCCCAGCAGCGGTGTCCACCGCGATTTTGGTCAGGCGGTATCTGAAATGACAGGAACCACTTTTTAAAAGTCTCTTTGTTACTCTGTCATTAAAGTGCCCCCTTTTCCACTTCAAACAACTGTGACAGAGCTTTCTAGTAATAACCTCAAGAAAAATATATGCATATAAATAATACTCTCAAGCTGTTCTGGCCCTTTATTTCCATATGCAGAGCATTAGTCTGGCTCCAAGGGGAGGAAGGAGGTATGTGTGTGGAGGCCAAGTTCCATAATAAATAGACATGCACAAGCATCTGAAACCACTCAGCAATTATCCGTTCCATGAGCAGCAAGGAAAGCTGATGTCTCCGTTGAGGAGGGAAAAGAAGGAATCCGTGAACCCAGTTAACACCGAACAGAAAAGCAGTGACTACCATTTTCCCAGTCTTCTCTGACTGCAAAGCCCTATCGGAAGAGTGTCAGATTGGAGCGCTTTCTGACCATAGGGAGAAGGGCCGAGAGGGTTCTGAAGGATGGGGAAGTGGGGGCTGATAAAAAGACCGGGCAGTGCAAACGGACAAACGCCACTTACAGTCGGAAGTGACACCATCAGTCCTCTGCCTGCCCAGGCTGAGGGCCCCCGGAACCGCCCCTGAGACCCCTCGGCACTGCAGTGCTCCAGAGTCCTGCTTGTCTTAAACGCCTGCAGGAGCCAGGTGCCGCCAACCCCCCTGAGAGTTATATCCCACAGTTTTTCTCATGGGCAAGGGCCGCTGTAGTATTTTAATACCTTTCTATAAAGTCACCGTATAAAATGGTGATAAGGTCATTTAGCCTTTTGCTCAATGGCCGTTCAACTGGATGGTGCCTGGGAAAGCTGCTGAGTGGGTTGGAAATAAGCTTGAAGCAGAGCAGAGGAGGCGACACCATCACTGCTCTCATCAGCTTGCCCTCCTGTGGGCCACCAGTTCACATCACCTGTGCTGCAGTATCACTCCCTGGCTGGCATCCTGGGGAACACGCCGTCTGACAGCTCACGCCCAGGGCTCAGGCTTGGCTGGCATCTGCAGCCCGTGTTGTGGCCATGCCCTACCCAGCAGGTACCCTCATCCGCTGACGGCCTCTTCCTCACTGCTCATCCACTTCTGCACAGGCTGGGTGAGGGGCTAACCTAGAAGTGCAGATCTGTGTACTGCGCTAATTGTTGGCCCGTGTCCAACGAGCCTGACACTATCAGACCTGGTCTTGTTGGGAGCATGGTAATGGGGTGGGGTGGCATCCACCCAGCCCATTGGCATTTTGGAGCTGAATCAACACCTAGGCTAACAGAAGCTGTTTGTGGCACTTCAAAGCCCGATCCACTGATGGCTCCTCTGAGCGTGCGAGGGCATCAGGGAAACCCCTGTAGGACATGGCTGGCTGGACACCCACCTGACCATGGTCCGCAGGAACCAGGGCTTGTTGATGATGGAAGGCACGGCCTCGTCCATGAGCGGGTGTGTCTTGATGAAGTTCAGGGTGTCGTCGGGAAACTCGTTGGAGGTTGCATACTTTTCTAAGGAGGATGAACCCGCACAGCAACCTGGCCTAAAACAGAAGAAGGGATGGCAGGGCGGGAGCTTATTTCATGACTGACGGCAAAGCCTTTGAATGACCCACTCCTGGCAGGAAGGAGAATGCACCTTGGGCTGAGGAGAGGAAGGTGAACAGTGCAGAAAGCTGTCAACTAAAACGGGCCTGGGTTTCCTCCACCTCGCCACCTCCTTCTATAGAGGAACCTGAGTCCGCCACAGTGGGGGTGGCTTGGCTTCCACCTGGAAGCATGAAAGGACCCTGAAGCAGCCGTGGTGGTTGGCTGCCAGTGAGGAGGGTGTGTGTGGTTTGCGCATTTCAGGATCAGCCTACCTGTCCCCAAATTCTGCTAGAAGTCCTGGGCATGTCATTTATACAGGGGAGAATGAAGCTGGCTTTGTCATAAACGGAGATGACAAAAGCACTGAAGAAGCAGCAGCTGGCACCCCGACCAGTGCGCCTTAACGTAAGATCTCTGGTTAGCTGGAGGTCAGAAAACATTGGGGTTTTCTTTTTTGAATATTGTTTTGCTTTCCGTTTGAAATGGGCGGTTAGGAGAAGCCAGTTAAGTTGAAGTTTCCCTCCTGTAAGGTCAGTTTCTTCATCACTAAGCAATGAGAGTGAAAATTCATTTCTTTAAGAAATTCTTGGCTTTCAGGACTCAAGGGACATCTCATCAAGGTGACACTGGGGGGACCCCAATGCTTCCGTGCCACGTGCTGTGCCCATGGGTGCAGGAGGGGAGACGGGCATGTCTGAGAGCCCTGCAGAAACTTCCCTGGCACTAACCCAGTCGGCTTCATGCAGGCAACCCCATGTCTGCAAGAGGGGTGAAGGAGCGCGTGGGAGGATGACGAAGCTGATCAGTGGAGCGCCTTATTGATTGGGTTGAAATCCTGACTGGGGCATCAGGGCTGCACCCAAGTACCAAGATGAGAAACACAGAACCACTCTGCCCCTCCTTCTTTTGCTTCTCTCTTTTCACTTTGACTTCCCCTTTTCACAATAACTATCAATAAAAAGGCCAGGTTCTTGCTCTTGAGCAAGCATCCCCTGCATTATGGAGCCTGCTCCACGACTCCCATTTCATTGTCAGTGTGGTGTTGCCCGATGCAACACCTAAGTACAGGTAACTCTGGCTTTTGGTTAAGGGGATGAAGGCAGATGACCTCGCAGGCCTCTCTGTGCTGACTTGTCGCTGTGGGAAAGCAGAGGCCAGAGCGTGGGCCCACAGGACGCTCGCCATTGGGGAGTGGCACTGGGCCATCTGTGTGTCTGCACCTACCTGGGCTTAGGCACACGTTCATCGGGGACCGGCGTCCAGGTGGAATCTGGAGACTTCTGTTCCTTGAATCTCCCGGTGAAGACAGAGGCAATGTCGTGCATGTCATAGGCGCAGACCGCAGAGCCGGGGATGCTGCAAGAACACATTTCACACAGAGGGTCATGCATGCCACCGGCAGGGCTGCCATTTGGAAAGCATGACCCAGAGGAGCTTTCCTGCTGCGGGCCACTGAAATGTCAAGTTCATCCCCTGACTACTAGAAATGTGGGATCCCAGAGCATAGAGAACCTTTCTGTGAATCAGATTTGCATTCTTGGCCTTAAAGAAAGGACTAGTTGCAGCAAATTCTTGGGGAGGAAAGGTGCTCTCGGTGACTTATTTCTGGAACTGCTCTAATTTGTAAAGGAAGAATGGTGGACCTAGTGATAGAGAAGTTTCCCAAATTTCCTGATATCTTCAGCCAATAACCCAAGGATAAAATCTTTGGAAAACATTCTGCATTGCTAATATTGGCAAACAAGTGGAAATTGAAGTGCCCCCACTGGCTACATATTGCTGCTTTGAATTGGGTTCTTCAAGCGAGACCCCCAGGAGTGAGAATGTGTACGTGGGGGAACCCATGTATATTTTATGTTAGAACATTTCGATTTTTATTTCCAATTTATTTGCATATGACTAAACAATGTAAATCTCCAAAGCACTAGTACTTCAGAAATAAAGTGCTCTACTAAATGCTAAATAATAATAATGACGGTAATCTCTACCCATAATTACATCCTTGCCTGGCCCTCCTGGAAGGACTTGGGGAGTTGGCTTTGTTTTTTTTTTTTTTTTTTCCTTCAGTCATGAGAGGCATTGAATTATTCATTCATCTGGGTGCACTGTTTGAATCCATGTTTGTTTTTGACTGTGATCATTCCTCGATTTTGATCGAATAAATTGCAGGCCCCAGCTGGCCAAGAGTTTTAATCAGGCTTGAGGTGGTGCAGCTTTGCACAGAACAGGCAGCTACGGCAAGGCTGGGCTTGGTCACGTGGGGATACCATGCAGGCCCGAGAAGTTTCTCGGAGCCCTGATGGGGCAACTGTGCACAGACTATGACAATCCCTAAATAAATGACTAGGAGAATTTTACACCACTTTTAATTTCTTAATGCAATTATTACCTATAACCAATAAAGCAAGAAAAAGAGAGATTAGAAAGTTAGTGTAAAAAAGGTAGCGGGGTGAATTTGAAGGTGCCTCATATACATTTCACAGAATTGAGTCTACAGGGCAGTGATGCACCATTTGTTTTGGGAATTTCTGAAGCCTACATTATACATTTAATTTGAGGAGACTCTTTTCACACCTCCCTTTCCTACAAGTAGTAGGTCTACGTATTTATATATTAAGAAAAATAAGATAAATGTTGGTTGAGGTATTTTATGAGGCACCTCGTAACAACTAAAGACACCCTTGAGTTTATAACCTTCCCAAGGCTGAAATCACTTGTGAAATCCTTTCTTCTTCCCTCCCTGATTTACTACCTCTTCTTCTCTTTCATCTTCCCACCCGCTCACTCAGCATGTATTTGTGAAATCTATAATCTCCAGGAGAAAATGCTCAGTAACTAGAGTCCTGCTCTTAGTTAACTCAAGTTCAGTGTGGAGACAAATCACACCAACAATAACAGCAGTGCTGATAAGAACAACAACAATAACTACTACTACCACTCATAATAATCCAGAACAATCTGTAAGAGCATATGCCCAAGGTCCCATGAGCAGGAACATAAGCTGAGACTTGGAGCAGCCACAGGGGCCCAGAGGGCAAACAGATATGGGCTGTGCCACTGTACCCACAAGAGCCGACTGTGTTCCAGAATCACACTTAGCCTCAGTGGGCCTGTGAAGTGGAGGAAACTGGTCCAGTCACAAGGGGTGCATGCCATGCCTAGGAACTTGTTCTTTACCCCCCCAAAGCAAAGAGAAGCATGTAAAGGAACCACAGTCATATGACCTAGTTAGTGTCCGTGAGGGAAGGGTGGGGAGGAGAACAATGAAAACAGCAGTAAAATCAGAGAGGGACTATGATGTACAGATGAACTAGGCGTGTGTGTATTTACTATTTTCCTCAAAATATGGATGTTAGCTAGGTCCCTTTTAAGAAAATTCTTGAAATGAAATAACTATAGTACATAGAAACCTCTTCCTGTATTGTAATCACAAAGTAACTCATCCTGTCCAAAACAAAGAAATTGGAAATTCCACTAGCCCTTGCATTTCCATGTACGTATTCTTTCTTCAACAGTCCTTCATAGGATTGGTACTGAAGTAGGAACAGTCAGGACCTGACTTTTTATATCTTTTCTATTCTCACATCTAAAAATCCCTGCCTATAGTGAAAGCTTACTTAAATCTGAGCGCATAATTCTTGCTGTAGCTTGGGTTCATATTTTCACCTATTTTCAGTAGGGAACTCTTGACTCTTACCCTCTATAGAACTGAGGAATGCAATTTCATCTTTCAGCTTGCACTGTTCTGGGCTTTTCCCAATTCTCAAGCATTTTTTCTTTTTGAGATATTACCTTCCAATCTCATACTATAGGCATCTGCCATCTAGACTTGTCAAGTTCTTTGTGAAATATCTAACGCAAAGCAAAGCAGTGGAGGTCAAGAGAAAAGTAGCGTCAAACATTCAGAGTGCTACACAGAAATGAAGCTACATGCTCTTAAGACTTCATGACCATGTCCAGATTCCTGGCAGTCTGGGAGAGAGAACCAGGAAACCTAGTGTGGACCTTCCATTCTTTAATTTCTACGCTTTTCCACCACTCCAGGACCAACTAGTGGTGCATAATTTGATTGATTACTGTCTTAGCTTAAATAAAGGCAAGGAGTGGAATACACTGAGCCAACTCAGCTCTGCATGGTCCAGCGCATGATGCCTTAGCTCCTCACTGGAGTCTGCAGAGCCAGAGCGATGCTGTGGTTGGGATTTGGGTCCCCTGATAGAGTGATCCCCTAAGGGGGGTCCAGGACAGACTCATCTCAGTCCCAAATCTCACTCTGTAGCATTTTAGGAAGTTTCCAGTGTTTCTATGTCAGAAGTTACCGATCCAGAGAGAGAAATATGAGAAGTCAAATGGAAGATTAGCTGACCTAGGAGAGGAAGAGGGGACCATTCTTGAGTTCCAAGGCTGCTTTTCATCTGTTGACTACCTGGACCAGTGGTTCAGAGGTGCTCAGTTTCCTCTAGTGTAAAGAGAAGGCCACAATATTCTGTTTCAAGGATTACTGGAGACATTTAGAAATAGCACACGCATCGTGTTTATATGCCAGGAATATAAACAGAAGATGTTGTCATAATTTTTCAAATTTCTTTCCTTATTAATCTGATCTAATAATACTTAGAAATGACTGTTAATTTGTTAATGAAAACAGTGTTAAGTGCTTCTTAGCTACAATGAGCGAGCGGCATTTTGCTGGCAGTTGAGAATTTGGTGTGTGAGAAGGGAACCCTTGGGAAAAGTATGCCAAGAAAAGCCAATTAGGTCAACACGGCCAGGCTCTGGTTACCTGTTATAAGGCGTGGAAAAGGTTGCCAGGACAACATCACGGCCGTTAATACGAATCACGTCGGTAACCGCCTGCAGGATGTTGAAGTAGAAATGAGAGTCTCCGGGTACGGAGCAGTTGAGGCGCGCCTTGAGAAAGGATGTCCACTGCTTCTCCAGGACTCTCTGCGAGCCGCCCATGTCGTTCTTGCAAACCTGAGCCACTCTGGGGAAGACGACCTGCAGAGGGACAACACCCAGGGAAAATGAGATGCATTCTGATTTCCAGGAGATCGTAGCAGAATTTGTCTTTCTTTGAAAATAGAAGCAGAACAACAAGGTGCTTAATTTAATCCGGTGTTTCTAAAATCAGTAGCAAAAAAAGAGGCGGGGTTGGGGGGGTTGGTGCAGAGAGGAACTCAGCCTTGCAACAGCGTGTTTTAAAAGATAAGGCTGTGGCATTTAATCCAGAGCCATAAATCCTTCAGGGGATCCGCTCCCAGCCACATAAACTCATTTCCATACAGACTGCTTAGCTTTTTATTTCCTCAAACAAAAGCACACTTTGTATGCGCCTCGCTGCCATCCTCGAGAACTGCCTCTGGGCCCTGCATCTCATATTCTGAATTCCTCTGATGGTGCGAGCCACCCCAATACTGAATCTGTGCCCTCGACTTAGTGACCTTGATCTACTCGCTGGTAGACATAAGGAAATGGACATCTACTAAGTGTTCTATGGCTTCTTGCAATAAAGACAAAAATTCGGAATTCCGTTTGTGCAAAGCTACTGGGTATTTATTGTCTCTGGTGGGGGGACCATATTCAAAAGAAAACCTCTTGAATGTATCTGGAAACCATATCTCAAGAGAACACAAACACTCGGTATGAAATCAACCACCCATCTGTCAATTAAATTCTCAACAGAAATACTTCAGAGGGAGTGTTAGAAGAATGCATACAGGACTGTGAGGCCCACCCATCTGAGGCTGAATCTGCTCACAGTGCTGACTCGTGATTAGATACCTGGTGCTCATTTCAAGATCACGCACAGCAACAAGAGTCTAGAGCGAACGGGGGGCCCTTCTTACCTTCCCCATGGTGTTATACTCCACCGCTATTTCCCTGAAGAAGAAGTAGATGTAGTTGCCATAGTCCACTGCTTGTACGAAATACGGCTCTGTGGACAGACGGGCACGTTAATTGGTGACATGTCACACAGAGTTAAAGGAACTTCAATCAGTTGCGACCCAAGACATGTTATTAATTAAAAATGTAGGGCCATTAGACATTTGCTTAACACTAACCATTTCTAATGACTTCACACAGGCAAGTACTGGTGATTTCAGAGAGCATTCAAGCCTACAAATTATATCTTTCAGAAGCAGTTGCAATTAACAATGGAGAATAAATGAGTTTCGCATCTCCTGTAATTTTATTTTCCACAACGGAATGCACATATTACAGAAAGGATTTTGTACACATCTCCTTGTCAACCCTGACTCAGAGAAGGTTGTGAATAGCTGCCTTTTTTTTTTTTCCTTACTGTTCCCCACCACCTCCACTCCCCCGATTCCTTTCATGAATGAAATGTTCAA